AAATAAAATAGTAAACCACTTTCTAACTCTCCCTTCCCACCCATCTTACCCACCCCCAACTTCTTTTTTTTTTTTTTACTGCTTTATGTGCTTCTCCTTAACAAGTATTACTGTCCTAATATTCTCTCTCTCTATTACTTATTTGTTGTGTTTATTTCCTTTCTCCTCAACTCACATGTGAACTTCACAAGGGCTGGGACATCTATTAGTTTATTTCCTGCTGTATCCCAGTGCCTAGGCCAGAGTCTGACACATAGTAGATGCTCATATATTTGTTGAGCATATTTGTTGATGAATGGATGAATGAAAGGACTGTTGGAAAATGGCTCACAGTTGACTCAATGGACATCCCGTCTTTACGTTTCCATCATTTGGCTTTGTGTCAAGGCCCCCTGATAGAAACTTGATGGCATATTTATGAAATTTGCAGCTGGCACAAAGCTTGGAAGAATAGTAAGAAGATTATAAAATAAAAATGAAAACAAAATTTTAAACATAAAATTGAACTAGTCCAAACCTAAAGAAAGGAAAATATAATAAAAAACATTTTCAGAATTCCCTCTTATTTTAAAATGTATTATAGACTTGCATTTAGGTCTATTCATCTAAATAAATTATAGTATTATAAGTACCAAAAAAAGGTCTTCTAGACTGGGCTCCTGTGGAGAAAAGTATTCCCTTGAGGAATGGGGAGGAGAGTGACTGCTAAAAATTTGTACTTGTATTTTTAAAGAATGGCCAGACGTGGAGACACATGGAGTCCTTTAAATGGTGTAAACACATCTATGGATTTTCTAAAGTTCAAGTGAACATTCATTCGTTTGTTTAAAAAACAAAACAAAACACTAAGTACCTACTATGGACCAGGCATTGTGTGATTACACTAGGGCTTCATTTTTTCTTTTTCTAAAGCATAAGATGTGTTTTCTTCCTGTTAGAAGTGCAGAGTCAAGTGCAGAGATTTGCCCTTAGACACGGCTCTGTTTCAAAAAGAAATTTTTAAAAATTTTGGCCAACATTTAAAAATCAGTAGATTTTGTACATAAAGCCAGACTACTGTCTTCTCTAAAGAGCATGGATGGAAACACTGACTGCAGCAGGCATCGCTCCCATGTGGCTACAGTTGGCTGGGGGTGATGCGCTACTTCTCCTTTAGCCCTTGTGGCAGGGTTCTCACCACTCCCTGATGCCTTGCTCTTAGCCTGGTGGTGCCCTTTGGCAGCCAGGTGCTTATGGTAGTGGTTGGGCAGGAATTGGTCGCAGAATTTTTTTAAAATCATGCACAAGCTATATTACACCATTTTATTAAGTCCAGTTACAGGAATATTTGAGAATTTTTAAATATAAAAGTTTTTTTTTTCCCCTAGTAGTGAGAATGATTAATAATTGGTTTTAGGAAAGTTAGTCTAAATTTGGGAGATGATTTGAGAGAGACCATGTTTCAAATACATCAATGACAAAAAGAATCATTCCGTGCAAATGGAGCAAACTCTTCCCTCATTTTCTGGTGTAAATGTTCGGAAGACTCAGCGTTGAGCTAAGTCAATGTGCTGAGCTCACACACAGCAGTGCAGCTAAGTGTGTGAGCTCAGTGCAGCTTGGTCACTTCTAAGTCCTGCAGGTGAGGCTAGAGCTGGTATCTTCATGGAGTTCTCATGTGATGCAGACACCTAAGGCCAATGCATTCCCTGGACATGAGACCCATCCATCCTCTCACTAGGCATAACCCTTGGCTTTAAGGGAAACCCATTTGAGACAGAAGGGGATAGTTTGGCAATAGGCTTGTAACCTGTTGGGCAAGTTCCAGAGTGGAGATGCTGGCTGAGGACCTTTCTTGCAGGAACTGTAATTCAACTCCACCGAAGGCTGTGAATTTAAAGGAAAACACCCATTTTTTCAAAGTAGAGGATTAGAGGAAAAAGGACAGAAGAGGAGGGCAGTGGTGTAAGAAGATTCTAACACATTTGTCTATTAAAAAAATATTGCTCTGAATAAACATATCATGAGCTGTCCTTATGAAGTTTACTATTACCAGCAAAAAGTATGTTCTGAATAAGAAAGGCACAAAGAAGAGTGTGCAGTTATTCTGAGATTGCTCCTAAAAGGCATCCGGGACTGGAAGGGCATTGGCTGTTTGGGTTATCCAGCTGAGGAGCTCATCAGGATCATTAGCTGGTGAATTTAGCTTCTGTACATGCATAACCATGGACTCAGTAGAAGTTTCACAGCACATGACAGCTGGGTGGCACATCTGTTGGAAATCAAAAAAATCAGTTTCACAAGCATTAATTAGTTGGGAAAGACTCAGGTTGGCACCGATTCTGTGAAAAAGTGCTGGAAGCTTGAATTGATTGCAAATTTAATATGCTGTAAGTTTAAAGAAATTTTAGTCTTTATCGCTGAAATAAAAATATCTAGTTCTGTTGTAAGTTGAGCTGTTCGAGCCACACTTGAAGTACGGTAGTAAATTCTGGTCATTTTAAGAAGGATATTGAAAATGGAAGTTTGTTTCTAGGAGGACAGCCAAGAAGAATCTAGAAACTGTGACATGGAAAATGGTTGAGAGACCTAGAGGTGACAGATCTCCAGTTTAACTGGAACAGAAGACTAAGGAGGGGATGCTGTAGTTACCTTCAGATATTCAAATGCCTGGCTGATGCGTGGCCTTATGAAACAACGTCTGAAGTTTATGACTGTTGAGTAAATAAACGGATGAAAGAGAGTAGAGGTATGTGTCTGTGTGTTGTGGGTGTATGTGTTGTTTTCCAGGGAGGAACAAGAACACATAATGAAAATTACAGGGAGAGAGGTAGATTTAAAACTCCATAAAAATGTTTCTCGTTGTAACAACCAGTGCTGTCTTAGAAGGGACAGGACATTTTACTAGATTAGGAAGGATTCAAGAAGAGGCTGAATGAGTCGCTGAATGAGATTTATAAAAAGAATGCCCACATGCAAGGTAAACCAGATTCTTGAGAAGTAGGATCAAATGGAAAGGTGAGGGCTTTGGAGTCAGACCTGGGAACAAACTGTATCTTTGCCGTTTAACTGTGTGACTTTAGGCATAAGGCAAGATACCTACCCTCTCTAAGGATAATCTCCAGGGGGATTATAAAACCACGTTAAAATGTTATTGTGAGAATTAACTGAGCTGATGAATGTAAAGTCCTAGAAACAGAGTGGGCTCTAGATAGACATTAGTTGACTTCCTCTAGATCAGATGGCATCCAAACTAGCGAGAGGGTGAGTGTCAGAAATTCTTGTAAGACACTCACTCAGGAAGTTTATTAGATTTTCTTAGTCACCTTTGTGTCTTCAGAGCCGGTACAAGGCAGCTGCTCAGCATGTGTTGGCACATTTGTTGTACTCTGGTAAGTCATGGCTCTAGGCATTGCTAGAAACAGGCTCTCATCGAGGCTGCATTGCCAAGGAGACAGTGTGCACGGTGAAAGAAGAGCAGGTTTCAGTATCAGAGGTTCAAATCCCAGCTCTCCACTGGGTCAAGTTATCTAACCTTTTCAAGCTGCATTTTTCTCATCTAAAGAAATACATATCTCATCTCACTGAGAAAGGAAAGTGGTCCAGAACAATCTGAGCCATGCGAGGTCTGCTAAACTTACTAGGCCCAGAGAGATATGAGCGGGGGTTCGGTCATGTCCCTCCACTCATGTCCAGGATAATTGCTAAATCGCACATTTTGGCAACTGTTTCCAGACTAGTTGCTGCCTCCGTGGGTATAAACTACTTAAATGTTATCGCAAGTCGTACAACAGGACATCTACTCTTTTTCTCTGTCTCGAGGTTCCTGAAATTTATGACGCGAAGAGCAATGTATTGCCAGTCAGTAGCTCATGTTATTTTAGTAAACCAATGTGAATTCTTGGCAAACAACTTTGAAACTGCCCTTTAACTTCTCCCTTTCTCCTTTTAAAGATCCCTTCACGAGTGCTGCCGGGCACGTTTTCAAGGCCACTTGAATTTGTGCTTCCTGGGCTGCAAGCCTAAAATTTGGCCCCCCAAAACTCTGTTTTATATTTTTGCCTCACGCTATGCAAAGGCACGTGATATTCTTTTCTCACTTGAATCCTCTTAACAATCCAGGAAGGCAGATAATGTGATCTACATTTTATAGGAGAACAAACAACATTCAGAAAATTGAAGTGATTTTCTCAAAGAAATAGCAGAACTGGTATTTGATACAATCCTTTTATCTCAAGGCCTGTCATCTTTCTTTTCTAAACTAGGGCTGAAATATCTTTTTGAGTGTCTACTGTGCTGTGTGCTGGGTACTAAGCTATGTATTTCCAAGTGTTGCCTCATTGGCTGTTTAGGTCCCACACAGAGATGGTAGTCACTCATGAGTCCCCTGGAAACATCCGCAGGATGAACTTTCCTAGAAATGGAAAGTTCATTTTCCAAATGGGACTATGGTTCTCCTTGACACCTGGCTTTTGGAAGGATATTCAAGGCCCAGTGAGGTGGGAAGGAGATAGCTGTCCAGACAGACATGTCAGCTCCTCAGCCTTGACCATGACTGAAGGGACGGGTGTTGTGTACCTTGAACAGCAGACACCATCAGCTGCTAGACAATTGTGCCAGAGTGCAGCTGGCACTCCTTGGGGCTTCTCCAGCCCAAAGACTTGTTCTGTTGGTTTGCACAGTGTTTTAAAATGCATCCCGTGTAAATAGTTAAACCAGTGACTTTCCCACAAAAACATGTAATTTAAGATTTTTGGTTTCACGTGAGGAATTGGACCGTCTGGCAATCCTGCTGATTCTCCCAGGCAGCAACCCCCAGCACTGCACGGCTACTTTGCTCCTTTAGGCAGAGCAAGAGTCCTGACGGGCCCCACACTGCCCACATCACTCCCTTACCTTCCTCCATTGATAGTTTAAATTAACATGTACTAGCCCCTGTATAGTTTATATTCATGATAGAAACACCCAGGAGAATGGTTCCTGAGTTTTCTTCTGACCGTGTCTTTTTCTCTCCTGTCTAGTCTGTGATTGCAATGGGAAGTCCAGGCAGTGTATCTTTGATCAGGAACTTCACCAACAGACAGGCAATGGATTCCGCTGCCTCAACTGCAACGACAACACTGATGGCGCCCACTGCGAGAGGTGCCGGGAAGGCTTTTACCGGCACAGAGAGAGAGACCGCTGTTTGCCCTGCAACTGTAACTCCAAAGGTAGCTGAAAAGGGGAGTGAAAGAGGGAGGGGGAGGGACAGAAGGAGGAAGGGAGGGTGGAGAGAGAAGGACAATGGGGAGGGGTAGGCGGAAGCAAGAGGGGACAACTGGGAATCTACCAGACACTGGCCTTTTTAGCAATTTCCATCTGAAAGAAAACATGAGACTCTGAAGTTGAAGCTGGTGGAGCCAGCTGGGGTCTTGAGGGCATGTTGGCTTGAATTCTGGAATTGAGAGTCACATCATTAACTCTTCCAGGCAGATGACAGTCTTTGACCCAGGAACAAAGAATGCTTGCTCTCCTCCAGTGGTAGTTCTTCGTGTCCAAAACCATCCCTGTGACCAACCACTTGAAAAATAAGGGACTAGAAAGATCTAGCTCTGGTGCTGTGCTAGGTGCTAGCAATATGAAGAGGTACTAATAAAAAAGACAGAGACAGGGGCCGGCCCGGTGGCGCATGGCCACCGCGCTACCTCTGAGGGTTCGGATCCCACATACAGACCGGCCGCTCACTGGCTGAGCGAGGTGCGGGCGTGACACCGAGGGTTGCAATCCCGTTGCCGGTCCCGATACGGGCGCAACACTGAGGGTTGCGATCCGTTGCCGGTCACGAAAAAAGACAAAAAAAAAAAAAGACAGAGACATAAATAGGAAGATTAGAGTCTTTCATGGGTCTGTTAACAAGAGAAAATAAAATAACAAACAGGAAGCACCTAACAGGTAGTTGGCTCGTAGGAGAGCTCGTGGGGTTTGTTGTTGCTGTTGTAGTTGTAGTTGTGTTCCACCAGTGCTGCATTCACAGAACCATAGGCATTCGTTGTACACATGGATGCACACGCTGTGCTCTATTCATTGTGGGCAGACAGTAAAGATGAGTTAGTAAATATAAAGAGGGGGAAGAAGTAGTTCTGTAAATAAGTCGAAACTTTTTTTTTTTGACTGCCTTGTCTATTATCTTTCTTGGCATGATCAGTTTCTCCTCTTTGCTAGAAAGTGTTTAATAGCATAGTATGATAAATATTAATCCACCTAAAGGGTATAAACCTTATTGCATGGCAATGACTCAGTGTAGCTCTGTGGAACCAATTCATAGCAGGCAGCTGAAAATCTAAAAATGGGCAGACTTTGGTGCAACCATGAGTTGCTGGTAGAGTGTGTTGGGAGCCTTATAGAAAGCTTGGGTGACCTGTGGTGACATAGATCCATATCCCAGTGATCACTTCCAAATTTGTCTAGGTTGCTGTTACGATGTGGTTTGGGTCAGATTTGCTCAGCTTTGTAGTAGAGAATCAGCATCCAGAGTCTTTTGGATTTAGCAGTACTCCCTATGCATCAAAGAACTTTGTAAAGAAAAATTAGAAGAAAAATTATTCCACTTTAATGGGCATTTAACCTCTCTGAAGAGCCCATATTGCCTTAGGTTATGCAGCTTCATTGTGAGTCACTAGAGTTGGGTCATCCCAGCAAAACGATCAGTGAGAATGTAATTAGAACTTTAATTGGCTCAGCTGGCAAGCCTGGCCTGAAGACAAGGTTATTAGTCTCAGAGTAGACAAGGAACCTGCTGCCTGGCAAAGAGATGGTAAGGAAGGATTTACCACGCCGTCTCTTCTTTTCCAGCGTGTAGGCCACCGCTCCCCCAGCAACAGTGAGCCCAGCACTGTCTTTTTATATGAAGAACAGATATCCCAGACTTGTTGTGAACAGCCTGGTATACAGCGGTGGAGCCCAATAATGATTAATATCTCATATGATAACATGTATTATGCACCGACTCTGTGCACCATTCTAGGTGCTTTTCATCTAGTAATTAATCAATCTTCACAAATAACCTTCTAAAGAGGGTGCTATTATTTTTTCCATTTTACACATGAGGTAGCAGAGGCTTAGAGAAGGAGGGGAAGAACTGTGTCCAAGGTTATAGAGCAAAGGTTTGAGCTCAGGTTTGCTGACATCAAAGGTCATAATGTACAGTACAGTGGTGGGTTTGGAAGCTGGACAGCCTAGGTTCAAATCTTGGCATTACCACCACTGCTAGCTCACTCTGGCCACTTAACCCCTTGCTGCTCCAGTGTCCTCATCTGTGAAAGGGAAATCGTGATATTTACATCACAGAATGAGCAGAGGTAAAATGATGCTTGTTAAGCACGTGATAGACAACTCAGTAAATTGTTAGCTGATGTAGTTGTTTTTCTTACTGAGACAGTGGTCAGAGTCCCAATCTCCTGGAACACTGGCCTTTTTTTTTAACATTCCAGCTTAGAAAGAAGCCTTGTAGAGGCCATATATTGTCAGCCCTCCATATCTATGGGTTCCATATCCATGAATTCATACAACTGCAGTCCAAAAACTAAAAAAAAAAAGTATCTGTACCGAACATGTACAGACTTTTTTTCTTGTCATTATTCCCTAAACAATATAACAACTATTTACGTTGTTTTAGGTATTATAAGTAATTAGAGATGATTTAAAGTAAATGGGAAATGTGCATAAGTTATAAACAGTACACCATTTTATATAAGGGACTTGAGCATCTGTGGATTTTGGTATCTAAGGAAGGTCTTGGAACCCATCCCTCACAGATACCAAGGGACGACTATATTTGGTCTAAAATTATTAACATTTTATTTATTATTAACATCCCTGAGTTGGCAGTGAATTCTTAAGATATTTTTTTAACAGTGGGAAACAGACCTAGAGAAGTTAATGACTGGCTTAAAGTGTCCCAGCAAGTAATCAGAAGAGATAAAGTTGTAATCCAGGTCTTCCGACCCAGAACAGTTCCCTCTTATTCCCTCCATAGGAAAGAAAAAAAAATTAAAATGGTGTTCTTTTAGGCCCAAAGGCAGACAATTAGGTGTCCACAAAAAATTTCATGGACATTATTTCCTAAGATCTGACTAATGCTTTATACTTTTCCAAAACATTTTCATATACTATGTCTTCTTCAGTTCTTATAATAACTTCACAACCTGTATGTGTTAACATGTCCTCCACCTCCCGTTATAGAGATGAAGACATTGAAGCTTCAGGATCCAACCTGCCCAGGCTGAGGACATGTTAGTGGCAGAGACTATTCCCACCATGTACTGTCCCCAACTACTCATCAGCTGCACAGATCACTAAACCAGTGGCACAAATTTAATTCCCTGTTTGATTTCTCAGTCTCCCAGTCAGCTTGAGGATATTTTTTGCTTTCAAATAACTTGACAAGGGGATATATGTTCAGTTTCAAATGCATAAGAATGTGTCTTAGCAAAAAATGCAATCATTCTATATGTGGCACATTAAGCCAACAGTATCAATAATCCCCAAAGTGGTCACAGATTTTTGGATTTGACATCAGTTTCTCATAAATTTAGAAGCGAGGCTTATTTTTAGGTGATGTCTTTGTGGGCTGAGCAATAGGGCTATTATCTTCAATTCTTATAGCCATATATATAAGCCCTGATAACCTTTTGTGGATACTTTGAAATTCACCGTGTGTGTGTGTGTGTGTGTGCGTGTGTGTGTGTGCGCGCGCGTTTGTGCACGAGTTTTCCTCCCAAGACTCTTAAATTCTTGAGGCCTGTATGGACATCAGGAATATTGGACTTATTCTCTTAATTTTATTATTTTTTTACATATCTATGAAACTGACAGTGGATTATTCAGACTATAAAGTATGAGTTATTCAAATCATGTCTTTAAATTCAAGTATATCTATATATATATTTTTTAAGGGTTCTCAAAAAGAAGAAAACTCTCTTGGTTTTAATTTTAAATATTAGTCATG